ATATACTTAATATATATATATATATATATATCATGAGCCTAATAATAATATTCTTTTACACCATACGGTGTTTGCCAACCAAATTCTTTTATGGAAAATATTTAAACTAAAGCATTTCAAAAAGACTAAGTACATGCCATATATCAAATGCTAATGGAAGAAATCAAAATTAGATATGACAATGGATACGGTCTAAGTTGGATACTATGATACCCACATGAGTAATAACTTTAATTTCCATTCCCATACTTGTTAGGTATTTATATACTCATATCCGCACCTGTTGCCTATACTTATATAAAAAATTAATAAATCAATGAAAATAATAATAATAATAAAAATTACAACTAAATTGAAAACTTACTTGTAAATTATTCAAGCAGAACTTTAAGTCATTCAAATATCAGTCATAACTCATAATAAGATAATATTAGAAACATAAAAACCTAAATATAAATTTGAATAATTTAAATATTATCATTAATAAAAGTCAAAACAAGTCAACTAGGCTAGACTTTAGGGAACTTGAGTCTAATTTGTCATATTTACACGTTATAAACATTTTTTAAAGGTCTAAATTGACCTTTTTAAAATTCGGCTAAGTCGAAAAGCCTATTTGCATAACTTGATTTTATACAAGACATATAAGACTTATAGGTCCAAGTAGGCCAACAATCCTTGTACGTTACTAAACTTATTCATCTTTTTTTTTTGTATGTAATGGTTGCACTAAGGTTTAAACTTAGGACCTTTGGTATATAATTTACAAAAGAAAAAGACCTTTGAAATACTACCCCAACTACTCCCACTAGGTCAATATAATGGTTCGCATTCATTTTTTATGAAGACTAATAAAGATGCTCTCACTAGACTAATAATTAATAATAATATTAAAAAATTAACAAGTTATTATATTAAAAAAAAAACTGCAGTCTTCTCTATAAATTCAAAATTTTAAATTTACTAATGAAAATTATGTTGATCAAGCTCAAGATGAAGACGTGATTTTAGTTGGTTTTGATGATTATAAATAGGCCTTTAAAAGATAAGAGTGTAACTTGTAGTTGGTTTTGAGTTTTGAGCCTTTTCATAGATAAGAGTGCAAATTGTATCTTGTCTTGTGTTTATTACTTGTGTGCTTTGTGCTTGAAAAACAACTGATGGAAAACTTGTTGGAGAATCTGGATTGATGTGAATCCTCTTCAAGTTCCTCCCTAGATCTTCGGCTCCTTGATTCTTCCTAAGCTTTGCTAAGGTCTCCAATGGAGGAGGAGACCTTAGAACCACCACGTTGTGGTGGAGAACTCTCCCAAGAGACGCCACTCCTTGATGAAGAGATAAGTCTCTTCAATTCTCACCACACTCTTCTAGTGAAGGGATAAGAGAATTGGATGAATATCAAAGAGGTTTAAGGACTTTTAGAAAAGAGAAATCTAAACAATTCTTCAGAAAATAATTCTCAATATCTCCAAAAGTGTTTTACAATGAAGGAAAAACGAAAATATAGGAGTAGGAAGCTTAGAGTGCAAGCTAGCCTTAACCATGGTTCACTAGGAACCATGGTAAGGTGTAGCTAACCATCCATGGTCTAGAGGCTTGGAGAGCAAGCTACTCACTTAGCTTGCTTGGTAAGCAAGCTAAGGAGAAGCTTGTGCTTCAAGCTTCTAAGCTTGAGTGTGAACAAGCAATGTGAACACAAATCAAGGTGGGCGGCTCATGGACTTTATTTTACTCCAACCGGTTTTGAAAAAATGTTGATTTGGTTTAGTTAGGTTCATCCAATGTGAATGAAACCTAGCTAAATCAAATCTATGAAAAATTAGGAGTAAAATGAGTCTAATATGTAAAATTTTGCCTAGGCCCATCTCTAGGTCCAATTGCTAGTAACACTCTCTAGCTTGCTAGTTACACTCTCTAGCTTGCTAATGCCACTCCCAATCCTACTACTAGAAAACTAAGAAAAGAGTGTATTTCTAGATTAGGTTAAATGGAGTCAAAGTGTCCAAGTAACCTACCCTAGAAACAATATACAATAGCTAATAAAAGGAAATAAAGTGCCTCACAAATACAAAGGCAAAAATACACCTATACAAGTATCTACTATATACAAGGTACAAGAAATCAAACTATACAATGTATGTACAATAGAGACTATGAGACTAAAATGAGGAATCATACTCAATACTCATATTGAGCATAGGTATAAGAAGCACCTCCTCTCTAGAAGCCTCCTCTAGCCTCCTAACCATGGACCTAGTTAAAGGCCCAATGGTCTTCAAGTGTGAGCCTCCTTGGATCAACCTTCACCCTTCTTGGTCTTACCTCTTCCAAAGGGATCCTTGGGGATTAAATTTCCATAAAAAACTTAGCCTTTTATCTATGTCTAGATGATGATTGATGATTTAGATATATGTTAGAATTGATTTGTAAAGAGAAATGATATGAAAAGAGATATTAAGTTTTCACTTAAAATAATCGATTATTTCAAGTAATAATTCATTATTTTCCCTGTTTTTTAGTTACGTGAGAAGTAGTTATTGTAATAATTGATTATTCAACAAAATAATTGATTATTTCATAAATAAGGTTATGGAATAATCGATTATTACTCAAAATAATCGATTAAATTGTTCTTGATTAATTTCTAGAATTGCTAAGAACAAAATAATCAATTATTCGTGTAAATAATCAATTATTTCAGTCTGAAAACTTACGTATATCATTTTTCACTCTTTGAATAGAGACTTAAATTTTTGTGATATATTTTTCGAAAACACTCTTAAGATACATTTTTTCTTTGCAATAAGAGGTTCTTTAACCTTTTTGGTAACCTCAAGAAAGTTTTCAAGAATTGAATTGATCATCATCTTTATGGAATGAAAGGTTAAGTTACATGGTTGATTCACTTATTCTAATATGTTCTATACATCAAGTGAATTCATTCCTTAAACTTTTGTATTAATTGTTTTCTCAAGTAGGCTTCTTAAGAAGGGAAAATCTTGTAGTGAGGTACTACAAATAGGTGTTTCTTGGGGGTACAAGAAGTGATTTCTTTAAAATTGTAGAAGTGTATTGCATGTGGTATTATAATTGTAAACTTATGATATTAAAGATTAGTGAAAAATCTCAATCAGATTGATTGAAAGATTGGATATAGGTCACAATTGGATGTGATTGAACCAATATAATTTGGTTGTGCATTTTTCTCTCTCCCAATACTTGACTTTACATTCTTGCATTTCTATTTTCATGCTTGTTGTTATGTGTTGTGAAGTATGCACATCGTATAAGAATTGAGTGAATTTAAACTTGTATTGAATCTAAACTAAGTATGCTACAAGTTATAGATCAGTACACTTGTTTGGAAAGATTTACAAAAGTTTTTCAAAACCAAGATAGCTGCATAAGAAGTTTTAATAAACCAATTCACCCCCTCTTAATTAGGCCATCTTTTCTAATAGATTATAGATGGCAAATATATATAGAGAAATTTTATATTCATAATTACTAGTTAAAATGACCAACAAATAAATAAATATGAAGAAGTTAGTGAATATTTACAACATTAGCCTTTTTTTTGTTCATTAACAAGAAGTATTTTCCATTGAACACGAGGACAATCTACTTCGGGTGTTTGACGGGTAGCAATAGGTAAGTATTCCCTCTCAGCTTGAATTTTCTACATTTGCAAGAGTCAAGATATGGAACCTAACCACTTTGTTAAGTGGCACAAGCCCCCTATTATTCGCGTCAACCCAAGTTGGTTTACGATATTAGCCTTACTACTTTATAATAATAGTAGTAAAAATTTTAAATTTTAGAATTAAATATATATCTATATTAAATAAATAATATTAATAATTATATATTAAATATAAATAATATCATATATATATATAAGAAAAACGACACCAATGTAACTTTTACTAAATATTACATCGCTCAATAACTTTATATTAAATGTGAATTTTATAAATCCAACTTTTAGATTGAAAAAATTTTACTCTTAAATCATATATAAATTTTTTTATATTAATGCAAAATGATTTGATACTTCATTCTTATAAAACAAAATTGAATTAATATATACATTTCAAAATATAATAAAATATGAACACTTTGATTACCTTCAAATTATTTTTCAATTTTAACAAAATTTGATATAAACATATAAAGTAATATGAATTTTCAATCTAACAGTTGGATTTACAAAATTCAAATTTAATATAAAGTTATTGATCGATATATTACTTAGTAAAAGTTACATCGATATCGTTTAAACCCTTATATATTATATTATATATATATAGAGAGAGCGATACATGTTTAGTCTACTAAGATATATATAATTCTTAGTTTATTATCAAATTTTGTTAAAATTGAACAACAATTTGAAGGTAATCAAAGTGTTCATATTTTATTATATTTTGAAATGTATATATTAATTCAATTTTGTTTTATAAGAATGAAGTATCAAATCATTTTGTATTAATATAAAATTTTGTATATATGATTTAAGAGTAAATTTTTTTCAATTTAAAAGTTGAATTTATAAAATTCACATTTAGTGTAAACATGTATCTCTCAAGTTCAAATATTAGTTTAGTCTACTAATACCTAAAAAAATTAAAACATTATGAAACTAAGAATTAAACTAACTAAAATAATAATTAAAAATTAAAATACAGATAAAAATGATGTAACAACTCTAATTAAATAAATAAAGTATTACAATTTAGAATTTTAAATTAAAATTTTATATTATGATATAATATATTTTTCTATAATTAATTATATATAAATAAAGGTGTAATTGATGTAAGTACTATACTTGCATCCGTCTACATGACAATTTATGTGAGTTTTTACTTTGATAATTAAAAATATTTTTTTACATGTACCCACCACAAAAATCCGGATACATTTCATCATCTCTAATTAAAAAATGTTACTAGATAAGAGGAACATAACTTAATATCGTGGAACACTTAATTTCATCGTGATAAAAATATTATGAAAACATCAAAACTCTCTTATACTCAATACTCAAATTTAATATTATTGATTAAATTAAATTAACCTTATAGTAATTGATCACGTTTAATGATTAAACAAAATTAATTTATTATTTTTTGAAATGGTTGATTATACTTATTTATATTAACTTATAAATAAACATTAAAAGATAATTTTTACAGTATAGGGTATAACAGTCATCCCATTTTATTTCTTCTAATTTATTCTCCATATTTTATCAATTACATTGAGTTTTGTTTATTTAAAAAACTAAAAAAAAAGTATTTTATTTTATTTTTTAATTGGATAACAAAAGTATTTTGAAAATTACAATATATGCTATCTGAACCAAACTATTATTTTATTACTCCCATAAATTCATTAAAGGATTCGCACGAAAGAATTTTAAATGTTAATGAACCATTTTTTTTAAAGAGTTTCTAAATATAACATTTATATCAAAATATTCCTCTCTTTTTTTTTTTAATGAAAGTCCAAAATATTCCTCTTAATAGCATAAATATTAAATAACTTTTAAACTTTACAAGATCTATGCATTTTTATTAAAAAATAACTTAACATACAGATGAAATTGACTGTATATTATGAATTATTGAATAACTCTATTAGTCTCCAACTAATTTATAATAATAAAATATATAAAAATAAAAATAAAAACGTAGCTGCAAAACAACCAGATAGTTCATTATCTTTCATTAAAAAAACAAAAATCAAATATGCATAGAAGTATATAACATTAACACATAGTTTATATGAATCGATCTCTATCCAATCCAACCTTACCCAGTTGAACTACAAACCAATCCAAAGGACCATACTTTCCATCATCCACGGATTGTGCAACTGTGTAAGAGAGAGACTCAATCAGCAATGGGAGGAGGAACCATCATGCATTCCAACCATCCTATGCCTCACTTTAGGAACACTCTCACCAATCTTAAGCCTCCACTTTCAACTGACAACACCACCCTATCTTGCTGCGTTTGTCAGTGTCACAATCAACTTTGCACAAAACAGCCTGTTCCATCTCAAAGGGAAGTCCAAGATGCCATGTCATCTCTTCAAGAGTCAGTTCTAATTCACTTCCTACTTTCTTATGTTGTTGCTTGATGCCCTTTTCAGATTACTGGCTCAAATTGTAGATACTGTTAACTCCAATTTTATTGCTTTGGTCAATCAGTGTTATAAACATTAATTTCTTGTTACTCATGGTTAGGCCTTGTATGCTTTATTATTAAAGCTGTATCAGAATTTTGTGGGAAGATACAAGTAACTCCAATATAGTGTGGCCATACATACAGGGTAAAACTCGAAATTGAGGAAAGGGATATTGTAGAAAAAACATTGTATTGAATTGATTGAAAAAAATACAGTTAGACTATGGACATGTTTATGTAAGTTTGTGTAAAAGAGATTTTTAGGAGAGAAAAATAGAAAAGAAAAATAAAATAAGTTTCTTTATAAGTTAAAATTGTCTTATTTCTTATTTTACTAGTTTATGAAAAAAATTATTTTGATTTCTTTCCCTATTT